AGCGTTTGAAATTCAAATTTTTACAACATTGGATTTTCACTAGATTTCTCATGTAGCGATTTCCTTATTTTGTTGTAATTCAAAAACGAATAACTGTAGATACATGAAAATTTCACTGAATGTTTATATTAGCATTTCCTATACACCATACAATTTTGAAAATATTTTGACTCTTTTTGAGCTGTTTATGGACATTTACAGCTTTCAATTTTTTTAGTTTTTTTTTCTATAAATATCAATAAAGTTTTATCTGTTGGTCCAAAAAGTGTAAAAATTTAATACAAGGCTCCTGATATATTGTTACAATATCAGTTGAAAAATATTAAAAATACACAGGCACGATTTTTTTTAATAAGCATTTAAAGTTGGAATTTTGACAAAATTTATCAAAATCTCGAAAATTATCAATCGTTGGAATTAAAAAATTATAAAATGTTCAGTTTTTATAACTAAGAGTTGAAAATTTAAAACAAAGATTCTCTTAAATAATTCATACTGTAACCAAAAAATCTAAAAAATATATAAACACACTTATTTTTTACAGACATTTTAATTTCAAATTTAGACAAAATTTCATATTTAAACCAAGAATTACGATTTTAGTTATTTTGTTGTGATTGAATAATACTATTCGTGGGTACTTGAAACTTCTAAAGTGTACTATTATATATCTATGATAGTATCACGGTTTTTGTTGATGTATAACGCGTTATAAGTATCTAATGGATATTGTGATATGATTAATTTGGAATTTATTATAGGTACCTATTATAGGTCAATTTTTTGTTTAATACCATAGATATGTATATAATATGCCTTATACATAGACTGACATACCATCACCGCTCAGAATCGTTTTTCTTATACAATGATATTATATCATTGAATTCAAATTTAATACCATCCATTATACAGTGACCCACTTGTAACCTACTGTACAGCAGAGCGACACCCACTTGCCCACCTTTTTATTTTTGTGTCTGTCATCACGTTTTAGAACAGTAAAAGTGCTTGGATTTTCTTCAACAGTATCTTTTCTGATAGGAAAGTGAATCTAGTTGGTACTTTGGGGGTGGGGGGGGGGTTTCAAAATTTCCCAGTAGTTTTCACAAGCACCGGGAAAAACAACATAAAAATTAAGGAAAACGGGAATTTTTACGCAAAATCTGTTTTCCAAAAAATCGATTTTGATTTTTGGTGTAACTCTAAAAGAAATGAACGTATATACAAGAAATTTTCACTGGTTGTTTATATTTACATTTTGTATACACGATAACATTTTCAAAATATTTTGATTAATTTTGAACTGTTTAGGGACATTTTCATTTTCCATTTTTTTAGTTTTTTTTTTTTAAATATCAATAAAATTGTATTTGTTGGTTAAAAAAGCTTGAAAATTAAATAGAGGGCTATTAGTATATTGTTTCAAAGGCAAATGAAAAATATTAAAAATCCTTAGTCACAATTATTTTTATAAGCATTTAATATTCAAAAATTGACAAAATATGGAAAAATCACGAAAATTAGCAAATTATTTTGAGTTAAGAATTCGTAAAAATTTTTCTTTTTAAATCTAAGATTTGAAAATGTAATACAAGATTCCTTATAAGATTATCTACCTTTATCAAAAAAAAAATGTCTATAAGAAAGTCAAATTAAATTTTTATGAGCGTTCGAAATCCGTAATATTTAAGTATAAACGAACAATTTCAAAATGTTTTAACTTAATGGATTTTTTTAAATCAACTGAGAAAAGCTAAGTTATTTCAATTGTAAATTAAACTATTTAAGTTCATAAGTTGATTAGAAAATAAACTAACTAGTTAAGTTAAAAAGTTAAAAAAAATTAACTTTTTAACTGAACTTTAACTTTTCAACTAGTTAATGCCCACTTTTGAATTTTATAATCACTTATATTCACTTGTGCAATTTACAATGTTGATTGTTATACTACACTGTTATTACACACGCAGTAACGCAGAATGTATGATTTATAATGAAATCTAGGTACTAATTTGTGAAAATAGTTATATATATTTTCTTTCTGTAATGTACGAGTGTTCCCAGAATAATGAAATCGGTGTTCAAATATAAACAAAATAAATATGATCCCAATAATAATATTTAAAAAAATAAGTAGGAACCTTTAATTAATAAGTATTAAACATATTTAAGGTATGTGGTTAATTATAAGCTAAAAATGCGAAGTCGAGATTTTTTGGTGGGAGGGTGAGGGGCGTCAAATATTGTTGCCCTAGGGCGTTATTGGTGGTTAGAGCGGCACTGTCGTTAGCAGTGTTGGGTGAGTAACTTTTAAAAAGTAATTAAGTTACTTTACTCGTTACTCAAATAAAATTGTAATGAAATTACTTTACATTTCAAATAAAAAAGGTAACTTATTACTTTATCGTTACAAAAAAAAAACAAAATTAATATTTTTTTTCTTTAAATTTCTTGCAACAATATAACATTTTACTGAAATACATTATCTATGGTAAAAATGGTATAATTTGAAAAAAGATGTACAAAATAAAAAATACTGTTAAATATACATATTTACATAACAATAGTAATTACTTATGAGTTATGACTATTAAAAAATAGTAGTAATAGTACTAATTAATTGTAGCAACGTATCAATGGTAATTAATCATTGTAGGTATAGTTAAGTATATTATGTATTTATGTCACAAACTCACAACATAAACCTTATTTATGTGAAAATAAGGAACAAAATATGCACTTTACCTACCCCCTCACGAATTTCAAATTTTTTTTCAAAAGACGTGTTTTTCGACGCTTATTGTGAAACTGTTTGTTTTTTTTTGCGGAAACCATTATTCTGGAAGTTATAGCCATCCAAAGTTTGCGATTTTAAGTTAGGCGCATGCTCGCAACGCTACTTGACTGCCACGAGCTGAGATATAACAAATTTTTTTTTACGTTTTTTGACGAAATCTGCTGGCGTTGCCACTCGCTCTCTGCGCTGAGATCGGACAAAAATATCAAAAATATCCCCCGATTTGCTGAGTTTAACCCCTTTTGGTAGGCCTCGGTTTTCCTCAAAAATTCCCGAAAACTTACCGTTCAAAAGTTATGGAAGTTCAAAGTTGTAGGATTACGCGTGTAGCAGCACTCGTGGCTAAAGTAATTTTGCTCGACCAATTTAAAACATAAACATAAACATTGGAAATTATATATTATTATCTATATTAGTAAAAACATATTACCCGGTGGATAATATCTTATGTAAAATGTATTTAATTTCATACAAATATTTTATTAAAAGTAAGTGCATTGCTTGAATATTGTTATATTGATCATGCCGGATAAAGCTTTTTCAATGTTGCCATAGTTACTTAGGTCCAATATTAGATTTTGAGCATTTTGTTAAAAACACACCATTATAATCCATAACAATTGTAATAGTTTTACACTTGATACTTGTTAGTTGTTACTATAGTATTTATCAGTATTTTTGAATAGCGACAAGTTAATGACATTCAACTTTATCACTATACCTACTATATTATAGATTATAGAAGGTATATAATATTGAAAAACAATGATTATACAAAGTATTACACTAACAATAGGTATATTATAATATACATATTATATTTAAAACAAAAATAAGATTTCATGATAATTATGTATGAATGATCATGACACAATGTATATACATTTAACTAGATGAATTTACATACTTAAAATGTTTATAATTATTCATGGAGGGGAAAATAGATTTTTAATTAATATTTTGATCTTACTTAATTATTAAATATATACAGTTTTGTAGAAACAAAAAAAAAAAAATTAAATATATTTTCATAAAAATTAAATTATGTTTAATCATAGAACTAACTGCATTCAACTGGGTTGTAAGTTTGAGAGAAATACAACAATTAAACAGTTAATATAGTATTAAATACTGAGTATAAATATGAAACAAAATATAATAACTCACAAGATTTTTAGATTAAAAAGATCAAAAATTATTTTACTCTCTTTGCGATCTTTGCTTCATGTTAATGTTTTCTTAGTGTTCTGTCAAATCATTTAACTTTAGAATAATGAAAACAATATTTAAGCCCTAAATTCAGATTTGCACACCAGCTCTGCAATGTGTAGTTGCAGCACTGGCCTAAATTTGTATACCTACGAAACAGCAGTACATATTACAAATCAAAAATACACAAACATATTGTATTATTGGTTCATTTTATGATTATTGAATATGTGCATGCAATGTATTTTTAAGAGGCTGGGTTAAATAATAAATTTATATAGGTACTTTACTTTGACCAAATGTATAATTTATAAAAATAGATTGATGTTAATATCTAAAATGTTCAACTTATTGTCCTAAGTACATAGATTTAAAAAGTTCAAAAATTAATTGTACACATTTTGATTAGACAATATATGTAGTTACCTATATCGATATTTTTCCAAAATATATCTGTTAAATAATTTGCAGTAGAAAAGTGAATAGTTTCCATATAAACAAATACATTGCGTAAACCAACACGAGTGTATGTATGTTACTAAATTTGTAGCTTTATTCAGGTAGTTCATCGATAACAGTATTAGATTATGTTCTCTATATAACTGTGCATGTAAATACAATTATTAAATAACCTATCTTCAATTTTTAATATTAAAAAAATGTTGTAATTTGTTATAATATGTTTGTTAATGTTTAACTTGCTACAATATACACAGTTTTACATAAAATGTTGATCGCTGAGACAATTGTACTTTTAAACAACACTGCAAAACACTAAAATTTACAACTAAAACAAACTTAATAAAATTACGTTATTTTACTTTTTCAATTTATTTTACCAAAACTGCATGTCAAATCAAAAAATTTAAGGCTGTACCAATTTTTTAATACCTATAATATTTGCACAACTGGTATTTTAGTATATATTTTATTTGATCTTTAAGTTTTGTATTACTTAAGGTGGAAATCTTTTTTGAACAATACTCATTTAATTTTAGTAAAAGTAAAGAATATAATATCTTTTTTAATTTATCGTAATTATAAAATTGACAAATATTTTTAATAACGTGTTAGATAATATTTAATTCAATATTTGTTATAATAAAGTACAGATTTGCATGCATTTTGTGCATCACGTTATGAAGTTAGACAATATTAATATATGTTCTAGACTGTTTAATGTATAGCAGAGAGCTTATAGTACATATTATTAAGTGGTTACATTATATTAGAAGAATTTCGCTTATTTATTCATATTTTGTAAACAATTTAATAAAGTTATTTTTTATATTTGATGATATTATTGTGAATAAAGTAATATATTTACCTATTGTTTTACCTTGTTTTAAATATTGAATCTTTAGCTATAAAAGTTTAACAATTCATAAATTTTTAACTACAACATCGTTTTTAAATTTTCAATTTGATAAATTTTGTCAAAAATCCAGCTTAGGATAAATGAACAAGTATTTCTGAATATTGAATTCACTCCTTCTGATATAGTAAAAATGAATCACGCCCTTATCACATCTATTGACGTAGAATGGTCTTTTAGACAATACAAGAGTATTTTCCGACCAAACCGTCGCAATTTTTTATTTGCATACATTCAACCATAGACCTATAAACTAATGGACAGCGCTTAGAGAGAGAGGTCAGGGGTACGATATACAGTATTAGTTTATAGGTCTATGCATTCAACAATATATTATTTCTCATTGCTCTATTCAGGAATAATACTCATAGTTGTATATACCTACATCGTGTGTATTAATTTTATTTAATATTTATATTTTTGTTATTTTCAATATTAATAAAATTTTTGATATTTACATATTTTGGATTTTTTATTCCATATTTTAATAAAAAAATGGTGTAAATATTGATTTTTTTATTACAATAAAATCTGTTCCCTAGTTATAAGCTTATAAATCATAATTTATATATAAAATGTACTTATCGCTAAATGAATAAGCAGTTATAATATGTTTATTATTGATTGTAGGACTATGTAAAATATGCACATCCTATTTTATAAAAACAAAAATGAATAAAATAATATTTATTTTTGGATTATTCTCTCCAGATAGAGAGCCAGTAAAAACTTATTAGCAACCCAGATGTAGACTGCATATTTTGATATGATGTGTATAATATTATACACTCTATATTTGTTTAATTCTGTAATATTAGAAAAAATTATAAATAAATAATATTAAATATTTTAATTTTTAAAAAATTGTTGATGAGTATAATATAACACTTCAATGCAACACACAAAACCAATATATTAATTGTTATGGTTTAGAATAGATAATAATTTACGGTATATACTAAATTAAGAAATAATAAGATATAAAAGAAAAAAAATTGAATTAAAAAAAAAAAAAAACGTTTTAATACTTTTAGGTCATAGATAAATATAAAAATTATAATAATTATTCATCATCATCACTTTTTAATCTTCTGAATGGCACAATATAAGGTTCTGAAACAAAAATAATAAGATAATATAAAATATATATCACGTAATATTATTTTATGTTTTATAAATAATACATGCCTACATTAATAATATTTGACAAGTCAATGAAATATTTAAATACGAAAAAATAAGCTAATGTGTAAGATAATTTAATTAAATATTTGTTATAATAAAGTACAGATTTGCGTGCATTTTGTGCATCATGTTATGAAGTTGGTCAATATTAAGAAATGTTGTATAATGTATAGCATAGAGCTTATAGTACATATGATTAAGTGGTTACATTATATTAGAAGAATTTTGCATATTTAATCATATTTTGTAAACAATTAAAAAAAGTTATTTCTTGTTTAATCTCTAGGTAAATTTTTTTTTATTTTTGGTAAGAAAATTTTTTTTCACTTTGTATTTCAAAAATGTATGCTGAAAGAAGTCCTTTTCAGCATAAATATAAAATAATATTGCTTAATTTTCAAAACAATTACATTTTCTTTTTGAATTCTAATTAAAAATACCAAGTACCCAATGAAATGGAGTGCAATATTGTTAACTAAGTAATTTAATATTTTGACACAATATTTTTTTTAAACAAAAACTGTTTCAACTAATATAAATTAATTGTATATAGTCAGTGTGAAACCCATCATCAAAAAATTAAAAATTAGCTATCTCTTTAAATGTTAATAAAAATACTATTTTTTTAATACTTTTCAAAGAAATAGTAAAACAGTATACCTACAATATTTTGGATAAAATAATATTTCAAGATTTTTCTACTGCATAAATGCATAGTATTATTTGTATTTGTAATATTCTAAAATGCATAGTTAACTATTTAATTTGTTTTTAACAATTCTGTAGCATTTATCTATTTTTGAAGGGTAGAAACTGGTATAATATACAAAATTATATATAATTAACATAATATCCAGGGCCGGATCTTAGTTTTTTATCACACGGAGAAAATGAAACTCGCACAGGATTGTGAGGAATAACCATTTACAAAGCATTTCACAATATACTGGACCAATATATTATTTACCACAAATAATTTAAACGATTTTAACTTAAAAATAAAATATTTTATTTTTAAATTAATCAAATAATAGTTTTAGAAGCACTTCTTAATGGTGTATTTAAATCTAAAATCTGTGGTCAATATTTCTAAGTTTGCGGTTTTGAATAAATAATATTGATAATAATAACATGTATGAATTATTTATTAACAAATCTAAATTAGGTATCCATCCATTACTTACTTTTAATATAAAAAGCCTTATATAATTGAACAATATTTAATTTAAAACATGACAATATTACCTTGAATATTACATTATACTAAATTTTTAATATTTGTTAAAATCAAAACTTAATATATACCTAGGTAATTAGGGAAAAAATACAATGAAACAATAATGTACTTATGTACTGCTGAAAATTGTAATATAATGATTATAACTAAAGAAATTTACTTTATCATGGATTAAAACTTATGGATTACCTAAATGTAGGTATATACTAAAATATCTACATTCTACATTCTAAATTTTATAAATTTACAAAATAACAAGAACCCAGTTGTCTATTTGACACCTTGAACTATAAAAATAAATTAGATAACAAAAACAGTTTATAATATAAAAAAAACTTAACCAAGTAGAATATAAATTTCTTTTTAAATTATTTTTATATAATATTCCATCTGACTTGGCTATATCAATAGGATAGTATTTTTGTTTTAACTATTTAAATATGTTGTACTTTTGTACTATTAAGTTTATCAAGAAAATTAATAGTTTTATCATACTTGTATTTAAAAAGATAGACATATTATAACAAATTATATTTCATTTTTTGATCTTTTTCATTTATCTAGTGGCCATTTCCATGGTGATATTTATAAAAAAGTTCAGTTTATAAAAAGGAATTTGTTAAATATAAAGACTTTTATAAACCTACAAACATATAATTTAATAAATAATCTGAAAACAATTAAATCAGTAGTAATAGTAAAATTGTATATAGTACATAATTGTATGTAATAACTATTAGAAAAAAATATATAACTGTTAATATAAAAAAATTACATAACAAGGAATTACAATTTACAATTAATAGTGCCATTTTAGATTCTGAGCGGAGCGAGGAAGCTATTGGTTTTACAATGGTGTTTATTTTTTATATTGTATACAAAATATCTACCAGGAGGGCTTGGATTTCAACTTATAGTAGCTTATCTTTTAGCTTATAATTGGATCACGATGGTACTTTAAAAAGGTCATTTTTCGACTTTCTCAATATTTATTTAATTGCACAGTAAAATCCACCGACAAATTACGAAAAACTTTAAATATGGCATTTTAATTTCTAACGCTTTGTTTATCACCATAGAAGCGAATAAAAAATAATAATGTTATAATATTAATTTAAATTACAGGATAAAATACATAATAACAATATCCAGAGTGACAAACCGTCTCCGCTCAGAATCGTTTTTCTTATACAATGATATTATATCATTGAATTCAAGTTTAATACAATCAAAAAATGACCTTTCTAAAGTACCATATTGATCCAATTTTCTAAAAGTTAAGGTACTATATGTTGAAATCGAAGCACTTCTTCTGGTAGAAATTTTGTATACAGGATATAAAAAATAAACACAATTGTAAAACCAATAGCTTCCTCGCTCTGTTGAGAATCTAAAATTACATAACAAGGAATTACAATTAATAGTGCCATTTTTATGATTAAGTTTTAAATAACTATCAACATAAAATATAAAAAAAAAATGTATATATGAATATTATATATATTATATTATTATATGCAAGAAAATAATGTCATTATTTACCATACTTTATTATATCACTAATCGGAGAGTACATTAATCTATGATAGAATATAGACGCGTACACTCCCGCTGACAGTTGTGAACGGGTGTTTCCACGGCACTGCGTACCTATTTCATATTTGTCCTTTTTAATTTTTAAATTTTCTTTCTCCTCCCCCTAGATCCACACCTGATAATATTTGTTTTAACAAATTGAGTGCTTCATAGTATTTGAAGCATATTGCCCAATGTAACCGTGTCAGATGTCTGGCTCACAAGTATAAAAATGGAAGCATTGCCTTGATACACAAATTAATTATATTATAACCTATAAAATACCTATACAATTTGTCGACACAGTCATAAAGGACAATGTCATAGTTGACTGAGGCACTCAACGTGTTTATTAGTATGCTTCATACCATGTCAAATGGTAACCATGTCTAACTACGATATAGGCGAATTAAAGAACGGAGGATTCGTATCAAAAAATTGTCATGATGCCTATACAGTTTGTCATGCTTCACACCAAACAATAAAAAAAAAGAAGAAATTAAAATATATTGTAGGTGCTATCATAATAATATTGTATTACATTATAATAATATATTATTACATAATAATATATGTAAAAAAAAACCAATAACAACAAAATGATACATACCTGGCTCATATCTCATGTAATGCTTCCATCCGGTTGACATTTGAATGCCAATATTTCGCCATTCCGTTTCAGTCATTAAATGAGTTTCAGGCAAGGTTTTGGCCAAATCTTCAGGTAAAATTACGTGCCTGTCGTGAACCAAAGTCAACGATTTATTATTCAAATACAAATTGACACCAAGACTTTCAAAGATAATGATACATTAAACAAGTATACCTACCTGTAAACATACGTTTCGTCTTCAAACTTTGTTGAATATTTGATGTTTTCAATAGATGATGACGTCATGTTGGGTGAAAATTATTGAAACGCGGATAATAAATTGCAATAATACAATAGGTAGGTATCTTAATAATAATGATTCACAACAGGTAGGTACAATGGTACATTTAAGTTTCCACAAGACGTACGTAATGAAACACAACAAACAACAAACGTTTTGGCGGAAAAATCATGAATAATGATTTGAGAATTGGCATTATACCGCGCTTAAATAATACGTGATAAGAGATCATGGTTTGATATCAATAAAAAAAAATGAAACGTACAGAACCTATAACCATTTCAAAATGCTGAATGCTGATATCAACTCAACATACCTAATTATTACTGTGGCGGGTTAATCATTTTTACTCGGAATTTTTCTATTCTATCCTAAATTTCAGAATTTTTTTTTTCATCTTGTGTATTTTTCAACACTGCAGAAGGTGGCGAAAACCAAAAGATCAGTAGTTTCAAAGTTATACCCATTTGAAATTTGTCGTTTTCATCTTAGTGATAATATGTTGTGGTCCACTGGCACAATGGTTATTGTGACACTTGATTACATAAGTAATTCGTGGTTCAGAATTCGAACTCTTGAAAACCGAATCAACTATTACATTTTTTTTTTTACCGTAACAAATCGAATGATGTTTTCGTTTTAAATTGTCCGGGTGTGCGAATGACCTGGACTAGACTCTAGGTACCTACGTTAAGAACAATCGGAGAATCTCCGCTAGTCGACCAAAACAGTACAAACGACAAACTTCAAATGACTTTAGATTCAAGACTAATGATCTGCTCCAATTTTCAGCAGCACCACCTTTTGCAGTGTTGAAAAACACATAGAATATAAAAAATTCAAAAATTTAGGGTGCTCACTGCCGGCTAAAGTAAAAAAGTTCCCTATACTCTGACACCGACCTTATTGCCCGACAAGGCCCAACGCCATCTCTGTTAAAAATCGATTATTATTCACAATAAAACGTTTAGAATATAATAAAACAATAGAATATAATATAAAAATGTACAATTAGGTATTTTGCATTAAAAATTAAACAATCAAAATATGATTATATTGTAACTGCTACAGTACCAGTTTTATTCCACTTTGTTAAGTAATAAAAAATTTAAACATATTTATATTATTTATATCTTTGCCCATACAATATAATATATTTTCTAAAATCTTAAAAAAAGACATTCAAAAATACATAAACAACAAAATAAAATATGATATAATAATCTTAATAGCATTGATAATAGTGAGTAATAGAATAATTAAATCAATAGTACCTACATCATGTCTAATAATTAATATAATAAACGGTACTGTGGGTACATAAACATTTATTTACATTTAAAAAACAAATATAATATTCTGACTGGTTTTAATTTCAATAAATACTTAATCATATAGGTTATACATATTATACAAAATTATAAAATTATATTCAGTATCAAATAGTCTTTTTTTAAATGATAATACATACAATTATTGGAATTATAGTATAAAAGTACTATATATTATATCAAATTTTGATTTTAATATTTAAACATATTAAGAACAATGTTCAATATTGATAAACGTGTATTGAATAAAATTAAAAATTGAAATAAAATATATACAATAGCGGTCATGTTATAAATCCTAATAAGTTATTTTAAAAACAAAATTAACAATATTATATGAATTAGATAATATCTCTAATTATAATTAATAAATATTTATATTTTTGTAATAGCATAGCTGATGATAAATATTTTATTTCTTAAAAAACTGTTGGGTATTATTCTACATAGTTCCTATTTAAAACCAGGAAACCTTGAAAAATAAATACATATTATACTAATTAAGTAGTTTATTGCCTTTAAAAAAACATACATATGTACACATTAAAGTAATGGTAAATATTAAATGAAACAACAAAACAATACAAAAAATGGAAATGCTACTTAAAACTAATTTTTTTTACTAACAGTTATAACTTCTCAGTCAATTTTTCAACAGACTCAAGTCGGTAGTTTTATTTAAAAATAAAAAATACAAATTTGTCTGCAGCTTCAAATATAAAATGTATTAATTTCATAAAGAACGTTCTTTATGATATTGCACTATTTTTTACTGTGCACTAAGTATGGGATTCTTTAACTTTTTATTTATACCTGTAGGAGGCTATAATAATATATAATATTATTTATGTATATATTGTATGAATATTGATTAAAAATAATGTTTAAACATATTTTAATATGTGGTATAGGTATTTTTGTTTAAGGTTTTTCTACCATAATTATTATACAAAACAAATCGAATACTATAAAGATTATTTAATTTTAAGCTAACTAATAGATTGGTGGGAATTTATACAGAAACTCCTTCCCCTGGATTTAAATCATAAAAAAGATATCCGGTATTTAGACTTGATCAAATTGTGTTTTATTATATTATAATAATAATAAAAATATTTTTAATATGGACTATGAATAAAGAATTCCAATTAATAATAGGTAATTTAAATTTACTTAATAAAAATGTATGTTGAAATTCCATAGTAACCTAGAAATAGATTAAATTCTGTGCATCCGAGATGGGTCCCCAAGCTAAGAAGCTCCCGGTGCTCATCTAAGGTGGGTACTACACTAGTTGGGTGAGGAGCCTTGTATTAGTTGTCCAAGCTACGAATAAAATGTCCGTAAACTGCTCAAAACAAGTAAGAGTATTTTGAACATTTTATTAAGTAAAAAAATGACAAAATTAACATAATATTGTGTAATCATTACAAGTATCTACGGTATTATTCGTTTTCAAATTATAACAAAATAAGAAAATCGATTGTATGCAACTATTACCTATTTTCAAAACTGCTGGGTTATTATAATTTTGTTTGTTTCAAATTGCTATATGAAAACACATTGTACGACGTCTACGCTTGTCAATGTGTCATACTCATACAAATAACAACCAATGTGTCTCAAATTTAGATTTCTAGCTTTATAAAGTTTTTCTTTCTGACCACCCCTGTATTTAGAAATTGAGGGGGCACAAACACAATTTCAAATTATAGATACATATAGATATAAGTTATAACTCATATTTTCCTTCTCAATATAATGTAATAAAAAGTATTAAATACGGTAAATGGGTGGGGCACGGGCCCAATGCCCCCTTAAATACGCCTCTGCTTCTGATGCGAAATCAGTTCGTTTGAGTATAATAAGTAGGTAGTCGTGACTGTCGAGAACGATCTCAACATTCATCGCTGGCGGTCTCGCCAGTCACATTTGCCACACAACTTTAAAAACTACCTACTATATTTACATAAGTTTGATTGTTTGATCACGTTTGGCATCTAGGTACGTCAGTAGATTAATAGTAGGATTTATTAGGTGCGTGAAGTTGGCACCCGCAAGTTTGAAATTCAACTCAAAAACCACATCAGTAATTGTTATACAATTTGTACAAATTTGTAACCCCAATTCCAAAATGTGTACAACCCCCCCCCCCCGTCACCATTAAATTCCAAAAACGATTTCCGATGCCAGCGTTACACCCCACTTTTTGTACAGTCGACTTTTGGACTCCAAAATGGTACCAACTATTGTTATTCCATTTGTACACATTTGTATTTCTAACTTAAACATTTGTACACCTCCCTGAATGTCCCAAAATTAATTTTAATGGTGCTTGCTTCACACTGCCCCACGGATATTTCTCATCGAATGCAGATCTATTCTAAAATTTATAAGTAGTCGAAATAATGCTTCGATTTTCAACTTCTGTATCTTGTTCGATTGGAAAGTTAATATTATTGGTGCATTGGGGAGGTCAAAATTCCCAATAGCTTTCAAAAAAACGCGGGGAAAAACAACATAAAAGTTAAGGAAAAACGAGAATTTTTACGGAAAATCGGTTTTCCACAAAATTGATTTTGGTTTTTGGTGTAACTCTAAAATTGATACCTTCTTGTACGTCAATATCACCATCAAAACCATTCAATGGAATTATTATACCTTGATTTATGGTTTCTGAGTCAAAGCATATAGCATTTGAGCAGCAAATAAGTCGTTCGTATGATGGCATATCGCTTAATAAATTGTCTTTCATTGATGATGCAGTATCAACAGTGTCTATTAAATATATATCACCAATAACATTTTTTATTTCTGTATAGTGCTTAAATAATAAATAAATTCTGTCCATCTACAGCATTTTTTTGGGTTTTGTGAAAATCATTTTTAAAACAAAATCTGCAAAATTAGCAAACGCGCGCTTTAAATGACATGCACGCAATACAAAAATAGATTTGCCATGAGTAAATTAATGATTCACGCTACTGGAAAAAACGCAAGTTCGATCATTTTCGATAATTTCTAGCTGCAGCTTTTGAACGCACCCTCAATCTAAAATTAAATAATACTTTATAGTTTATTATACAGCCATACAGACATCATCATTCAATTCAGTACCTACGCGATTAATATAAAATAATATTTTAATATCCTTCACTTGATATTACTAGAGAAGTGAATAATTGAATTCACTAGATAAAGAATTAATTATTATTTTTAAATAATGATAATTGTTTCCAACAAAAATAGTTTGTGATTTGTACAAAAAGAATAAATATTTTATTAATTTATAAATTCATTTACTAAATGAAAATTCAAAATGTCAAGTTGCTAAATGTGAACCAGTTGCTAAACATCTAGAACAATAGTAAAAAATTGTAAATTCAAGACAATTAAAAACTTTAATTGAACTCAGGAATAATTAATTCCATTAAAAATATTAAAGGTGTTCTAAAACAGCCATCATATATTGATGAATATCCAGATTTCATATATTATATCCATCGATGCCAAGACATTATCCCCTTAATATATTATTTCAACCTTATAATTATCGTACAGCTCATACTCAAATTGATACTCCTCAAAAGTAGGTACGATGAATCTCGGAACAAATATTTGTGTTTTTTTTTTATTTAAAACTATTCAATATAACAATAACGGTACATATAAAT